GTTAATTCTACTGGAATTTGATTATGGAACTGCTGACTTCATTCTGTATAGAAATAACATAAAACCTTCTTGTGTATGGGAATATAATCTAAAGATTATTGTTATTTTCTAGATAGTGGCATTGGGGATTTATGCGAATAAATAAGATCGTTCTTCTTCTAACCATTATTCATCAATAAAACATTGCTAGTGGTGCCTCCTTCTCTGATGTGTGTAATGCCCAGATTTTTCCCCGGGTCTTGGCTTCTCAAATCGATGGAAGAAAGTTGGGGTGCCCTGGTACTAACCCCAGCAAAATTACTGCAGTCTCAGTGCTGTTCCTGCTACAGTCCTGCCTACTCCTGAATGTGGTGTTCACTGGCAACCCTGTTAGTTCCAGGACCTCTTAAACTAGAGATTTCAGAGTTTGGCTGAAAGCGAAAGAAGGGTTCCCTTCTGTCAAGTGCTGCTGCTGTTCAAAATTCTTGTTATTTAACCCCAGCTTTCTACAGATGTTTTCAAGATCAGAGGAACCATGAGTCTTCAAAGGAAGAAACTAAAGTGGAAAAGTAGTTACAAGAAGCGCGTGCTGTAGCTTCTTCATTTTCTTTTTTAAGAGCAGATGGGTATAGGAACTCCTTGTCCACTGCTTTTTGTGCCGTGTTTTGTGTACTTGATCTGTTTGCTTTCAAAGCAATACTCTATGTTCCCTTGATCCCTATTTCTGGTTTTTACTGCTTATCTGCTACACTGACAGCCAGACTTATAGACCTTTAACTCTATCATCCCCTCCACTCACTACCAGGATTTGTGCTGTTTACTCTTAACATTTTAAGCAAAATAAGCTGCTTTGTTTCCCAAAAGAAAGATGAAACAACTCTGAGAACAAGGATGTAGAATTGCCTATAGATACATAGGCCTATGGAGATAATTAGATGTTCTAACAGAGTTGTGATGTACAAGGATCGCTGAGGGTCCCTTTCCTCTTGGTGTCCCTCTCTTCCTGGTTCTCATGCTTTCTCTAGTATGTGTTCACAGTCCATTTTCAATGTGTGGCCGTGTCCTAGGGAGTGCGAATTCATCTAGAGATGCTAAGATGCCATGATCAACATAATTTTTTTACCCCATGGCAAGGCATAAAAAGTTCATCTTCTTTCTGTTCAGGTCTCTATCCTTAATTCATTCCTTCTGTCTGGACTAATGCTAGTGGTGACAGTTTGTATTTAATATTTTGTCTAGGACTAAGTTGTTCTCCATTTTGCTGAGTAAGAGCCCTTAGGGAAGTGTGGGGCAAGGAGGAAGGCCACTTTCTGTATATGACAAACTTTCCGTACATTCTAGACACAAAAAAATGAGCAATTTCTGATGGGATTTGAGTGAGGCTTGACCAAGATCTGGTTCCTTAGCTCAAGAATCCGAAATGATGCAGGAATGACAAATTATCACTGCTGGGGCCTGGTCTTGTAGTTCGTACACAGTCCTCAAGCTAGGCAACTTGTCAATTCATGTCACTTCAGGTCAACAAAAGCTCTTCCTTCACTTACCAAAGAGAAGCTTAGTCAGGAATGTCCTGATGTTGCATCTGTGCATAGCTCATAAGCCCCACAAATTAAAGGTAGTGACCTATGTTGGGTTTGTAAGGAAGCCTGCTGCCCTGTCAAATGAGAGGGAAGTTGACAAACATGTATCCTAACTGCTGAGACTTCTGTCTTTCCAATGGAGTGGATGCATCTGCTAGGGACTTGAACAGTTTCTCTGCGTAACATGCAGGGATGCTCAGAATAACAAGGTTAATCTTGCTGTTTAAGTACTCCATTGTTAGATTAGGTTTTGTTTGTTTGTTGTAATATTTGATTTCTGACCTATGTCTGACTTGGCATCAGCTCACAAGCTCTGCACCGTCTTGTAGCTTTGTTTGCTGAATAAAAGAACTGTCCTGCCAAAGCTATCTTTGCATAGATGGCTGCAATTTTATTACTTCTTCTCAGCACCTTTTAGTCCTTATTTCCCTCTTCAGATATAAGAGCATATAAAATGTCTTTTCCCCTGCTTTTACATAAGAACTGTAAAAACTCAAATGAAGTCTGGTTTACCCATTTTAATCTGACACGTTGGTAACTTACAGAACATGTTTAGCAACTCTGGTAACCTGATTTTGAATGCTCTGTGAGAGTTTTTGACAGTTTTCTAAATCAGACGTAATGTTAGTCAAGTCAGGAAGCTGGCTGTCTTGTTTCTCTGCTGAAAAGAAGTTCCATTTGTGAAGATTATGAATGTTAGTTTTAAGCGACAGTCAGCTGACATAGCTCCAGTTCTTTGTTGTAGGCTTTTTATCATATTCCTACCTGTTGATTTTTGGTTTTAGAGTGCCTGAATTTTCATAATTTGATTTAAATTGTTCATATGTCCCATTACAGCATGTAACATAAGACATAAATAGAAAAAAAAATCCACTAGTATGTTGTGATACATTGGACATGCTTCCTGCATCAGAAGTCAATGGATGATGTTGAGATCTGTTTGTTCAATTGGAAAAGCAGGTATGGTGGCAATATTACGTGTTTAGACTTCTGCATTAATAAGAACAAGAATAGCAATAGAAGTCTGAAGATTCTTGGGCACTTGATTAGGGGCCTAGTCTTGGAAATGTAAGGTGATGTCTGCTACAGATAGACACTCACAAGCAGACAAATGTGTGTGCGCTTTTTATGATAATACTCTATGAAAAACTGGCAAAGTGCTTTTCTTTAGATCTTGTTTTGAAACATATACATTTCTCTAAAGCCTGTTGGAACATCCTTTCCCAGTGTATCAGGCAAGTTTGAGTACCTGTGGTTTATTAAAAAAAATAAAAAATCACAAAAGGAAGTTAAAAAAAAATTGGAAGTCCATGGGTGGCTCAAACACTTTTCCTTCAAATGCTTCGTTGCATATTGACACAAATTCATTATTACCTGGGAACCTCTGACACACAGGGTTAATAATTGGGAATTGAGTCCACACTTAAATATTTCCTTTTGCTAGGATTTCCTTGTTTTGTGATGTGAATATTGAAAGATTGTTTTTTACTTTTTTTTAAATAATTATTGAGATTATTTTCTAAGAAGGTTAATGTTTAAACAGAAATGTCACTGGTGTAGTATATTCATCTCCTCTGAAATAAATTTGACATACCTAGACCTAAGGAATAGTTTTTTAAAATATTTGTGTGTGTGTGTGTGTATGCGCACGCACACACACAGATATGCGCCTGTGGCTTTTATTTAGCAGGTTTTTCAAACTTCATGAAGTACCTTCCAAAAATCATTTCTGGGCAATTTAACAGTGCAGTTCCCTGCAAGTATCAATGTAGTATCTGGCTTGAAGACCTACTAAACGTTCTGAAGTTTTTAACTTGCCTAGTGACTATAAAATTGATATTCTTTGGGGAGGGTGGGGGTATTGTCCTGCAGTTCTTACCAGGGAGTGAAATTGCAAAGTTCCTTTTAGGACATGGACTGTCCCAGGCAGCCTGTGATGTATTATGAGCAATTGAATTGTGAATGTTGCAAAGGGATAATTCAAATTATAGAAATGCAAGAAATGGGTAGATTAAGACTCTACTTTCTTTATTATATCAAGTATTTATACCAACTGCTTTGTTGTAACACACCTTAAACAGATCAAAGTGGTGACTTAACTTGAACATGTGCAAGCATTTATTTTTGAAATGGAAAACTCTGTATTCATTCTCAGTTGTAAATCTTCTCATTTTTCTTTCAGATTACTCTTTACATCAGTAGAAATGGACAGCAGCAGTTTCATTCAGTTTGATGTGCCCGAGTACAGCAACACTGTTCTGAGCCAGTTAAATGAACTCCGCTTGCAAGGAAAGCTATGTGACATAATTGTGCATATTCAGGGTCAGCCGTTTCGAGCCCATAAAGCTGTCTTAGCTGCCAGTTCTCCGTATTTCCGTGACCATTCAGCATTAAGCACCATGAGTGGCTTATCAATATCAGTTATTAAAAATCCCAATGTTTTTGAACAGTTGCTTTCTTTTTGTTACACTGGAAGGATGTCCTTACAGCTGAAGGATGTTGTTAGTTTTCTAACTGCAGCTAGCTTTCTACAGATGCAGTGCGTCATTGATAAATGCACACAGATACTGGAGAGTATTCATTCAAAGATCAGTGTTGGTGATGTTGATTCTGTCACTGTTGGTGCTGAAGAAAATTCAGAAAATCGCAATGGAGTTAAAGACAGCAGCTACTTTGCCAATCCTATTGAGATATCTCCCCCCTATTGCTCTCAGGTGCGACAGTCAACAGCAGGCAGCGATCTTAGGATGGAATCTACTCCAGGCAAAACTCTGCGTAGTCGTCTGCAAGAAGAAGGGCATTCAGATCGAGGAAGCAGTGGGAGTATCTCTGAATATGAGATTCAGATTGAAGGTGATCATGAGCAAGGAGACCTGATAGTAAGGGAAAGTCAGATTGCAGAGGTGAAAGTTAAAATGGAAAAGTCTGACAGGCCAAGCTGCTCTGATAGCTCTTCCCTTGGTGATGATGGATATCATACTGAAATGGTGGATGGAGAGCAAGTGGTGGCAGTAAATGTTGGTTCATATGGGTCTGTCTTACAACATGTTTATTCATTTACCCATGCCTCATCACAGGCTACAGGTGTGTCTGAAACCTTCGGAAGCCTGAGCAATACAAGTCCTTCAAGGTCAATGCTGAGCTGTTTCAGAGGGGGTCGTGCACGCCAAAAACGGGTATCCACTGGTCACTTGCATAGTGATGTTCAGGGCTTGGTGCAAGGGGCTGACAATGAATCCATGGTGAGTAACCCAGGATATGAAAATAGTCCACGGGAAAGAAATGCAAGAGGTCATTGGTATCCATACAGTGAGAGGCTAATTTGTATTTACTGTGGAAAGTCTTTCAACCAGAAAGGGAGCCTTGATCGACACATGCGATTGCACATGGGAATAACTCCTTTTGTGTGCAAGTTTTGTGGGAAGAAATATACCCGCAAGGACCAACTTGAGTATCATATTCGTGGTCACACAGATGACAAGCCCTTTCGTTGTGAGATCTGTGGAAAATGTTTTCCTTTCCAGGGTACACTAAACCAGCATTTGCGAAAAAATCATCCTGGGGTAACAGAAGTAAGAAACAGGGTAGAGTCTCCAGACAGAACAGAAGCATTTGTGGAACAGAAAGTAGGCAATGATGCTTCAGTTTCTGAAGCTATGGATTCTAGTATGGAAATTCATGCAATGTCTAACACATCTGATTAAAATATTACATTCTAAGTGCAACACAAACAAGCACATTACTGATTATTTTTTAAACCTTTTATTATTTTAGTAATCTTCAGTACAAGTATAACAGCCTTTTAATTTTCCTGACCTTCTGGAAATCAGTTTGAAATGGTTTCTGGAGAAGACTACATAAGTATTCTTTGGTTTTGAAGGAGGCTGGGTTGTTTGGGTTTTTTTTTACTTTTGAAGATGCTCAAAATATAAAAGACTGTGCTGGGGAAAGGATAGGAAGAGTCTGCTAAAGTTTCCCTACTGGTTGATCTGGCAAGACACAAATTCCAGTGGTGAAAGATACTAGAATAAGATTGGCAGCTCTGCTGGATACACCAAGAAGCTGTAATCTCCCTTATTTTATTTCCTAAATCCTGTTGCTGGTAATGAGTTACACAGCAGTGGGGAGAGAGAATATTATAGCTTTGATTTCTTCTGTGTGTCATGATGAAATCTGTTTGCTTTTACTAACTGTTTTTGGTAGTTAGTCTGTTTATATATATAAATTTGCTTTATATATATAAAATGTTTTCACTTTTCCTATTCTGGTTGAGGTGAATGTAAAAGTATGTCAAGGTTTATACCATGTACCACTCTTTCAACTGCTAGGTCTCCTCTCTGCTTAGGATTTAGGACTTTGGACTTTGGGAGGATGGTTTTGGTTTTAAAAGAATGTTGTTTGGTTTTCATTTTATTAAACTATTACTTTGTGTGCAAAAGCAAAGTTAATTACCTTGTTTTAATAGCTTTGCTTTATTACATATGTAAACCAAATGCCATAAATCTATTAAATTATGGTTAAATTGTTGAGGGGTTTTGTTAGTTGTCTAGAACTTAAGCTGGACAAACTGTGGTGCTGACCTTTTTATATATAAAGAGATAGATATATCTATATATCTATATATATATATATCTAAAAAAGAAAAAAAAATTAGCAAACCTAAAAGTAGCATTGTGGTTTTAAATGTGTTTTTACTGGCCTCAGAATCTACCTTCATTTTGTACTGTAGAACCATACCAGGTAATTAAATTTAACTTCATCGCTCTTTATGGTTGGTTGAAACCTGAGAGAGATGATGTAATTTAAACTACAGTATTTCCAAGCAGTGTTTTAATGGGTCTCTTCACAGAGAGCTGTTTTCAGGTGCACATTGACTTCCTACATAAAGCTCCAAGTGATATGTCAGCACTTGGAATTTATACTTTTTTTTGTATTAAAAAAACAAATACTCTATGGGAATTTCAAGCAATATGTCTGTTATTTCATGTGTGAGTATTACAGAGTTGCTATGGCTTCCCTACTATTTTAAGTGGTTGTTTTCTGCATAAAGGAACTACCAACAACTTTAAAAATACTCTAAATCTTTTTGTTTCACCAAACTTTTTTTTTAATATGGTGCTAACTTCATCATTTAGGTCAGTATAATATATAAAATGTGAAACCTTATGGTAGCAGTTAAGCAAAAGAAAAAAACATACACACACAAAAACTCAAAAACAAACAAGAAACAAACAAAAAAACCCCATGCCAAACAAACCAACCACAACAACAACCAAAAAACCAATAGCTTAAGAGACCTCAAAAGCATGAACTGGCAAACACTACTGTGTAAAATTCAACCTGATGAACAGAATTGAATTCATCACATGCTTCTTTAAAATACAGGTTTTATATAATTGGGTTTTATGTTTGTTTAGCAAATATTGAACATGTGAACATGCTGTTTAACTCCTGAAATTTAGAAAATAAAAGCTCATTCCTAAATTATAGGAAAGCAAAAAGGTAGGTTTGCTATCTTGTAAAGCTTTTTTGGCTCCTGTGAAGTTGGGGCATATTTGTGCAGTAGCTTTATTAAATACACTAGTTCTTAATATTGTGACAGTCTGCAATAAGAATTAATTTCACTAAATACAGATTTACAGTATAAACCCCACCTGCTCCATTGGAGCAGTTTCAGTTAAATTGAGTGCATAATTTCCCTCTTTGTCCTAAACTTGCCTAAATGAAGAGGCAAAGGCTGGGGAGATGTTTCTCTCCTTGAAGCAACAATAGATCTTTTGTTTCCAGTAAGGGAAAGTATATGTCTGTGTCTAGGGAAGGTAGTCTATATGTTTACCCACTTAAAAACATGTCGATGTTTCCGATACTGTTTTTTTCCTAAATGTTTGTTTTAAGTAATTAAATGCAAAAAAAATTGTGTTTTGATAAATTAAGTTTGAGACATGCAAAATTCAAGAAATGTACAGTTATTTTTAACCCTTTATCTTGGACCTGTGCTGTGGTGCCTTTGGTGTGACTTTTTCCATGGAAGTATGAGTTGAGGATATGGGTACTAATTTTACATTTCTTGAATTTCTCTGTGTCACAATCTTAACATTATTTAAATCTAGTTCTTTGGATTTGTAAATGTATTAAAATGGTTTGAGTTTACCAAAGAGTGACTTATCCAAAATTGTCTCTGACAAAAACAAACAGAAAAACAACATCACTTTGATTGTACAGGTTCAGGTTCAAAACATTGTAGTGGGACTGTTAAGGGGCAGGAAATGATCACCTTTTTCTACAAAATCACGATTCAGCAGTTTGCAGGTTCTCCTTGCTCCTATTTGTGTTGATATGCCATTTACCCTTTCCACTGCTAGCAGTGTTAATAATTATCAAGCCATAACACAGTACTGTAAAGTTCAGCAGTGCTTGAAAGGATGCATACATAGGTGAGCATAAAACATCATTGAGCATTACATTTACACTTACAAAGTGTGTGACTCTGGTAGAAAACGAACTTCAAACCTGGCAACAGCAATTAAATTGTGCCTTGTCACATAATGGTATGCCAGGATTAACATTGTCATGAAACGCGAAGCATTATCTGGTTGAAGTTCATTTCACAAGTCCACCAGAACAGAGTATGCTGTGTTATTTTAAGCAAATTATGGAAGTACTGTACAGTGTCTTGTGTCTGTACAGTTTTAAGTTAGCACAGAGCTGTTATACATTTCATTTACAATAAATGCAGAAGTCAATAAAATATGTGAAGAAATATTTGACAGCAAAATAAATCATGAAATTATATAGGCTGGTTCATAATTGAGTCTCTTCTTAATCTACCTTTTTAATTATAGACAAATGTGAAAACAGTGACAGTGTCCTTTCCTCTAGATGTTTAACCTATTATGACAAACTGTGAAAATAAAGGATTTTATACCTTTGCTAATGTTTGTGGTTTTAAACAGTTCTTTTTGTCTTCTTAATCAGTTATCTTCCATATTATTTCTTTTAAACTTGTAAATACATTTAGAAAATAGCTTTGTAAATACTTACAGTATATTAAAAGTTCAGTTTGGTCAATAAGGCCTCAAGATTGGCTCTGCTTTTTTAGTGTGAAATCTTTCAATAGCATAAAGGATACCGTCAACTCACTGTTCAGCAGAATATACTGTAGGCCTAAATTGATAGTTCTTAATGCAGTCTTCCCAAGCATAAATTAATGTTTTATGCTGCAGCCTTTGGTTTACTTTTATCTATAACAATGAGGCCTCTTAATATGTTTAGGCTGAATTATGGGAAGAACAGGTTTACTGTGATTCTTTTATTGTCATTTTTCTAAACAGGTTTCACATGAAACCATTGAAAGGGACTCAAATATGCAACACCTAATCTATTTTCCAAGGGAATTTTACCCTTGAATGGTGCTTTTTGACTGGTCAGGGTTATTTATTAAATTTTATATTTGAAAGTATTTGGGGAATTATGTAAATTCTTTATATGAATCTGTTTATTTCATTAATTGTAAATTTCATAATACTCAGTGATTGAATTGGAATTTTAGTAAAGTCATTCAAAATGTTCAAAGTTTATAATCTGTGTGCATTTTACGTATATTTTAACAAGTGCCAGAATAGTTGTATTTAATATTGTAGATTTAATACTACTTGCACATCCCTGTGACAGCATTAACTTAAGTTACACAAGTTTACATTTTAAAAAAAATGCTAAACAAACAAGTAAGCCTGGGACGTGTAGGGGATGTGAAGCTAAGTATCAGTAACTGAGGAGGTTTGCTTCTGGTTTCTGTAAGTAACTCCTGCTGGGGTACACAGAATAAACTGCTGTCTCTCCCATTTACATATGCTATGAATTCAGCCTTTGGACTTGTATTGCAAGCCTCTGGTTGTCTATCTGATTAGAGGTAGAGCTCTTGCACGATTTTAGCAGTGTTTGTTTCTGACTGAAAAATTGTATTTTTAAATAATTTTTATTTGTATGGTTGTTTTTCATTATAAATAATTGAACAGTTTGAATGACTTGACTTGGTGTCATTATCTTGCAATATAAACCGGTAACCTCACAACTCCACACTTCATCACCATATGAAGTAAATGAAGCTAGCTAAGCTGATGCTGTAACAATTAATAACTTGCCATTAAGGATTATTTTATAGCATGGATTTTAAAATATTTATTCAAATGATATTTTACTCTTGTATTCACTTTGGTTTTAGATTTGTGACATGAATATTTCAGTGCTGCTTTATTTTGTTCTGATGAATTTGTTTCTTGCTTGTAAATTGCTTTTTTTATGGTATAAAGTCAATGGGAATTGCTGTTTGTAAATTAAAATGCTTCTAGAGCAAATCTATGGTGTCAGTGTCTACATTTAGGTACTTAATTACTAAGGGACTTGCATTTTAGATGCTTTTCCTGAAGTGTTATAAAAAGTTTCAGTTTAATACTCACTTACCGACTAGGAATCAAAAATCTTTAGAGACAAACTACTTTTAAAGTTTCTCTTTTTTGCCAGCATTGCTTGTTTAGTTCTGAACAGATGATCATTTGAGTTTTATGCTCCAAAACCTTTTCCAGTTCTCAAAGCAAAACAAAAAACCTGGCTGGGTCACGGCAATCAGTTTAACACCAAGCCAGAAGCAAGTCAGTTGGGTAGGGAGGTAATGTTTAATTTCCACAGCAGCATTTGCATTTTATGTTATGCTATATGTAACAATAGAGCTAATACTGTTCTCAGCAAGTGTAGGATACAGCTCCTCCTAGCCCACAAGCTTGAATTGAACACGAGTAAGCCAGCAACTGCTTAGCTACTTGCAGCTGATAGCATGGCCTTAATTTGTTTCATGGCAGTTTGACAGTTGACAACTCTGTAAGTGCCTTTGTAACAAG